GTCAATGATCGTCTGAGTATTTTGCACAGTTTATCTGGCGACCTAATAGCAGCACGCTTATGTTACATCAAAAGTCAAAATGATGAAGACTTTTCCACCGAGTTGAATCCACGAAAAGATCTGAGCACAATAAACAACTGCCTGTCAATTTCTGATGACATGAGCGACACAAAAACTTACTTTCAAAAAATCAAAGAAAAGTTGCAAACAAACGTTTTAAAGCACCACGAAGAAGATAGCTTGCTTTTGCCAAATAAGATGACTTTGACGCCGAAACAATGGACCGAGCTGAAGCGACTTAATGAGGCATTTCGAAGAGAATACTCAATTAGACGGGAGATGATATTGCGCCGAGCGGACACAACTATAAACTCCTTCAGCTGGAAGAATGATTCATCACGCGAAGTAAACCAAACCCTTCTTAAAGATGTGTATAAGAAGTGCCGAGAAAAAATGACCACTGCACCATGCATCACCCTGGCCAATGCTCTTGCTGCTCGAAGTTCAGATTGTAATGCACTTATCAGCGAAGTGATCAGCACGAGCCATGCTAACTGCATCATTGAGATTCCTAATGTGACTGGCAAAGCAAACCAGGGCGCCCAACAGCAACTGCAGCTGTACAAGTACCTCATCGGCTCGGTACCGGACAGAGGTGGACGGCCGGGAGAGCAGCCGATGCCGGCAAAGGAGACCTTCACACAACAGGCAGGTCAACGGGAATCCGCTAGTAACCGTAGAGGAGGTGGCCGTGGTGGAGGTGGCGGCGGGGGCGGCGGTAATTACCAACGAAATCCCATCCCACGAGGCAATGACCGAAACTCAAACCACCAGCCAAGGAATATTCCCGAACACACAAACCGAGTGCAAAATGCCGGTTGGCAACAGGGCGGTGGAAGAGGAGGAAATAACTACCAAAACTACCGACAGTATGAGCAGCAGCATCAGCATCAGCCAGATAACTACAGTCAGTATCAAGGAGGTCATCAGCGATTCGCGGGGTACAGCAACCAAAATCAGTACTATCCAGACTACAACTACCAGTCGAATGATTACTACCAGGGCCGTGGTAATCNGCCAGATAACTACAGTCAGTATCAAGGAGGTCATCAGCGATTCGCGGGGTACAGCAACCAAAATCAGTACTATCCAGACTACAACTACCAGTCGAATGATTACTACCAGGGCCGTGGTAATCGGGGTGGTGGCGGCGGTGGCCAGAACCGACGGTACTAAAGAGTCGATGTCGTAGTAATGTCTTTTGTATCGGTTGGCAACACAAAAGATGTTTCCTCCTAACANCGGGGTGGTGGCGGCGGTGGCCAGAACCGACGGTACTAAAGAGTCGATGTTGCAGTACTGTCTTTTGTATTGGTTGTAAACACAAAAGATGTTTCCTCCTAATATCTCTCTCTATTAATAAAAAAGAGGCCACATCGTACGGTGTAGTAGAGGATGAATACCGGAAAACTGGTGCACACGTCTTTTCTCTTGAGTGCACAAGCCACTGCCGATATGATCATTGCTCTCCGCCAGCAGCAGCAGAGCCTGGGCGTCTCTCTTCAAGGCAAGCGTGTTTTGGTGGTGGTGGTGCCGCAGCGAGCATGTGCACAAACACACACGCTGCCTTCTGCTGCGCTCGCCGCTTCGTCCTTTCTAGTTTGCGCTCTCAAGCCGCAACTCTCTCGCTGTGTCTTCTCCTGGTCCTTTTCTTCCTCGTCGGGTCTTTGTCCCTTGCCCTGCCCTGTCCCTCTGCCACCACTCTTCCCGACCGTGGACAATGCAACACCAGGACTCGCAGACGCTGAAGTACACGTGGGACCAGGTGTTTTGTGGCTTCTGGCTGCGTTACCCAAATCCATACAGGTACTGGTGAACGTGTATGACAGCTGGCTCAAATAACTAATTTGCTATTCCTTGTTCTTCTTCTGTAGTAAACATGTTCTGACAGAGGACGTCGTCCACCGGTCTGTGGACAAGGACGGCAGACTGTTCACCAAGAAGCTTCTCAGCAAGACCAACAGTGCGCCCAAGTGGATGGAGCGCTTTCTTCCCACAAAGCTTGTTTACATCATTGAGGAATCGGTCGTCGACTTGAAGGCAAAGACACTCACCACATATACTCGCAATATCGGTCTCAAACACCTACTGAGCGTCGAGGAAAAGGTCGTCTACAGACCACACAATGAAAACACCTCATGGACGGTCTCGGAGAAAAAAGTTTGGGTTGACTCATCAGTTTACGGCCTTGCGTCAGCTGTTAAACGCTTTGGCGTGGAGAGATACAAACAGAACATCAAGAAGGCCTACAAAGGCTTCAACTTTACCCTCGAGATGATGTACGGCAGTAACAGGGTCAAGAATTCGCCTCCCTTTAATCTCGTCTTGAAGCAAAACATCAAAGACAGTGCCACTAAAGCAAGCGAGTTTGCCAAGTCCAAAGTTCCTCTCGTTATCGCTTCCTCCGCCGAAGACAACCAGTAGCTTGTGGGAAAACTCCCCCCTCTGACCAATATCTGAACCAATATCACTGCACCTCACAATGTTTCCCAAGTGTCCCTGAAAGTTCACCTTAAATACCCAATTGCCTGCAAAACAGCACTCTCGTTCTTTTTGTAAGTCCAACTTATGAAATGTACCAATCTCAGTCTTGCAGTGGTCTTTTGGAAAACACGATATAGCAGATGATTTGACATGTATAAAAACTGATTATTTGTACCGCCTTTACTACCTGTAGATACACCTTTTGTTATTTGTACACTTTATCAACTTTTTTTATTCTAACATAAAATTATCCATTCAAATGAATTTGTGATCTTCAATTGGTTAGTTCTGCTTCTCAAAGTAATCTTTGGCATTTTTCGGATCAATGGTTGGCTTGTTTGGCTCCCAGTTTGCTGGACAAACTTCTCCGTGTTCGTCGGTATACTTGAATGCCTTTATGAGACGCAAGGTCTCATCGACCGAGCGCCCAACAGGCAAGTCATTGATGGTAATCCTAATTAAACGGAGTTGAGTACATTGAAAATTCAAAGGGCATCAATTTGGTTACTTACTGACGAACAATGCCCTTTGGATCGATTATGAAAAGACCACGCAGAGAAATGCCACTGTCCTTGAGGAGAACTCCGTAGTCTGAAGAGACCTGTTTGGTCAAGTCACTCAAGATTGGAAACTTGATGTCACCGAGTCCTCCTTGCTGCAAAAAGTTAGCTCAAGTTACTCCAGAGATTACACAATGACAAATCAAGCTTACCTTGCGTGGGGTATTGGTCCAGGCGAGGTGGGAAAAGTGGGAGTCAACCGAGACGGCTACAACTTCGGTGTCAATGGCTTTAAACTCTCCAAGTCTTTCGCTGAAGGCGATAATCTCAGTTGGGCAAACAAAAGTGCTGCAGATATATACAAATATTGTCAAACTATGAAGAAAAGAACTGAATGAAAACACTTACAAATCGAGCGGATAGAAGAAGAGAACCAAGTATTTGCCCTTATAATCTCCCAGCTTGACATTCTTGAACTGTCCTCCGACGACGGCAGTTCCTTTGAAGTCAGGAGCAGGTTGCTGGACAAAAGCCGACAAGAATCGACTGTTGTTGGCAGCGGAAAACTGCAAACGGCCGGCGCCGTTCAGCAAATTACGAGATGCCAACGGAACGATACGCTGCAAATAGACAGTAAACAGTTGACTGTTTCATCTGACTCATGAATTACTAAAGAATGAACGAACCTGGGACAGATTTCGCAAGATCGAAGCCATGGTGAATCGGAAAGTTGCAAGTCTGCAGTGGACAGCAATGACAGAGAAATGACAAAATGAAGCAAACAGTTAGGTACACGCGGTGATAGCGGTGACTTTACGACTTCTCCCCAAACTCACTTTGACAACTGTTATTTTCTATACAATAACTCTCTAAATCCCCTCTAGTAGTTAGTTTCACCTCTCTAGTCAGCAGATAAATGCCCGTTTTTCAATTTTCCCTGGTCAATTTGGCCCTTTACTGCCATAACTTAGTCTACGAATGTGCCCCTACAGTGACTCCCCCTTTTCTCTTTCTCTCTCCCCCTTCAGAACTGATTACCAATGAACCCCAGTGCGGATTGAAGAAGCTTCAGACCGTCTTTTGCTCTGTTTCCTTTTAGTTTCAGTCAAGTTTGACAATCCGGCAACTCTACCGACTGCCAATCACAATGGAGGCCATTGGTCAGGAGACATTCGAGAAGGCTGTCGTTTCAAAGTAAGTACTGAAGTTGTAGGATTGCATCATTTCTAATAAATCTGCTTTGTCTGTTTTGGCTTCAGTCAACTCGCCAATGTGCTCTTTGTTTCTAAGCAAACACCACAATGCCAACAAGTTTCAGACTTGATAAGCGATCTTGCAACGCAGGATGAGTTCAAACAGGCAAAATACTTTACGGTAATAAGGAGGCAAATCTGAAACCGGCAAAGATTTGCTCAACTTTGATTTTTTCAACTTGTAGGTGGACATTGAAAGCAGTCCGGTGATTGCGAAGCAATTTTCCATCATTTCCGTGCCCACATTGGTTTTATTCCGAAACGCCAACGAGGTGGACCGTATTGTTGGAGCCGATACAACCCAAATTGTGCAGAAAGTGCAAAAGGTTCTCGATTCAAACAGCTCCGTTGAGAAGCGGCTCGTTAGTCTGATCAATCAAGATCCAGTGATGGTGTTCATCAAGGGCACTCCTGAACAGCCTCGTTGCGGCTTCACTCGTAAGCTGATTGGTTTGCTGAACCAACTTGAAGTTAAATACGGCTCCTTTGACATTCTTTCCGACGAAGAAGTGCGCCAATCATTGAAAGCCTACTCCAAATGGCCAACCTACCCTCAGCTCTATGTGAAAGGAAGTTTTGTCGGTGGTTTGGACATTGTCCAGGTGAGGCATTAGTTAACAGTACAACTAAAAAATGAAGACTAAATTAACTTTATTTCACAGGAACTGCACGAAAATGGCGATTTAGTGGACATGTTAAAGGTCTAGCTCACTGTGTAATGAGTTCTGTAATTAAATTACAATTGTAAACTAACGAGAAATTGGATAAATAACTTTTTTATACATAATTTCTACAATCATTTACAAATAAACTAGCTCACTCCCACTTGTGTTTGAAACTGACATTTGAATCTTTCGAGAATCCTTTCTTTGGAGGCTTTTGCCTGTTCTTACCGTATGATGTCGCTGCAGTCGCAAACACGTGTTTGGAGAAAACACTCACTTTTTGTAGACTCGATTCTGGCAGTCTGTCTTGACTAGATATTTTGGTATCTCATTTGGCTACTTCCCATTTCCATCATGCAAAACGACGACGTGAGTATTATATTTATTGACATTCTATGGGATGATTCTAACGGTTGTGCGTTTGCAGGTTATTTGGAGTATTTTAATGAAAGGCCGGGGCAATTGCTCTTACTTGATCAAGTAAGTGATTTAAGCATTTCAGAGATCATCATTACAACTTCCCTTTGCTTGTAGGACCAAATCACAAAACTTTTGCCGAAATGAATACAACGTGTCAGGTCTTTGCGGCCGGAAGACCTGTCCACTTGCCAACAGCAACTACGCGACCGTTCGAGAGGAAGAAGGCCAGTGCTATTTGTTTATCAAAACAATTGAGCGAGCTGCCTTTCCGGCTAAACTCTGGGAGAAGGTCAAACTGTCTAAAAATTATGAAAAGGCCCTCGAACAGATCGACCACCACCTGATGTACTGGCCGAAGCACCAGATTCACAAATGCAAGCAGCGATTCACTAAGATCACCCAGTACCTCATTCGTATGCGCAAGCTACAGCTGCAGCGGCAGAAGAAGTTGGTGCCACTGCAAAACAAGGTGGAGAGACGTGAACGCCGTCGAGAGGTCAAGGCACTCATTGCTGCCCGACTTGAAAATGCAATCGAGAAAAATCTGCTGGAACGACTTAAGAAGGGCACTTACGGCGATATCTACAACTTTCCGCAAACCGCTTTTGAAAATGCACTGAGCACAGAAATGGAGGAAGGGCAGGAGGAGGAAGAGGAAGAAGAGGAAACAGAGTATGAACTTGAAAAGGAGCTCATCAGTGACGATGAAGAGGAAGACGGCGAAACGGTGGAGTACGTGGCCGCTGATGCGTTTGACTAGAGCGATGAAGAGGACGAGGAGGAGGAGGAGGACATTGAGGACATTAGCGATAAGCTGGACATGGCCAGGAAGGGTGCCAAGAAAGGACCTAAAAAGGGCATCCTCAAGAGGCCTCGCATTGAGATCGAGTACGAAAATGAGTATGATCGCCTGTCCACCTCAAAACAAACTCGATAAAAAAGGTGTTGTGCTTTTTATTTTTTATTTTGTCAAAATGTATAATATCATCAATTAAAATGGAAAATTATAAAAATCATTAATCGTATAAAAATATAATTATGAAAAGAAAGATAAAAATAAATGCAAACAGGGGCACGAATATAGCAGAAAACATCAAAATATATTGAGAATTTGTAGAAAAATAAAACTATGAAAGAATAAAAACAGCGTAGAGAAGAAGGTAGAAAAGAATAGATAGTCTTCATTGATTGATTGAGTTGATTGATTAGTTCACCTTGCATGAATGCGCTGAATAGGCTAAATGTGGGCACATTGAGAGCATTGAGCAGTTTTGATTGATTCGTAAACTCGATAGCGGATTCGGAGATTGAAAAAAGAGGAAGTGGGGGCTGGGGATATAAGACACTGGTTAAGTTTGATTAGTGAAGATTCGGGGGAGTGATGTGCGCAGAGAGGGGGAGATTATTAAAATGCGATTCTTTGGCGAGAGATGAGTGAAATGAGGGGCGACCGGCTCAAACTCGGCCATTGTCGCTGTGAAATTCAGAAAGTGCCTTGATCGGTGCAATGTGACGCTTCTGCGATCCTCGACGCACTTTGGCTCGAGTCTCATCGGGGCGCTCTCGACGCACCAGCGGCTTCTTCTCTGGGGCCTTCATCTTCCATACGAACATCGGGAACTGTTTTGATAAAGATTGTGTGATATGAGCAAAAAGGGAGATATTTTTAGTCAATTGAACGTACGTTTTGTTGACCATTGATGCGTGGGTACTTGGTAGAGGCGACATAGGAGGATTTCACTGTCAGGACGACGGCATTCATTAGGTTTTTAGCTGCCTGGATTAAGCTCGTAGCGCTGTCAAGCTGTGGAGAGAAAAAAGAAAGAGGTGATGAAGATGATTTGCTAAGAAGTAAAACAAGTCAACTTACACCCGAGACAATCAAGTTGCCGGAAATGTTTTGCACATCAGCCTTCACTTTGGAGGTGATGTTCAGCTGGTGACAGTAGAGATTGATCATTTGCAGGTAGGCAATGAGGTCCTTTTTGGTGCTCGACTCGGGACACTGGTCGGCGATTTGGCCGGCAAACTTGTCCAGCTTGGTGCCTGACTCGGATATCTTCTTCGCCGCATTAATCACGTCCATGGTCGTCTTCAGGGGGCCCTTGCCACGGGTAAAGTCAGTCATCTCCATCATGATCATGCACATCTGCTTGGCGATGACGATAATGTCATTGCCGGTGTCGTCCCACTTGGCCACCTCCTTGTCGAACTTGTTCTTCTCATTGCGGAAGGTCTCCACTTGCTGGGCAATCTTCTCCTTCTCCTCCTCGGAGACGAGTCGATAGGCGTCTCGTGCATTGTTGATGCCGTGAATCTCCGGGTACTCGTCGAAATCAGTGTGAATGCTTGCTGTTAGAGAGAAAGAAGTATGAAAAGTTACTAATCTGATTCACCAAAACTGAAGCATCACTTACACTTAGACCTGGTCTCATAGGTATTGTCCTCGTACTCGATTTCCGTTTCCGAGTCCAGCTCTTCCACCGTTCGGTTCAGCAGGACGGTTCGTCGAATCTCGCGGACGCCATCGTAGACCAGTCGAGAGGCCTCGATGAACTCATTCTCGTTGACGTCCCCCTTCGATGAGCTGTTCAGCGCCTCGACGGCCATCTCCACGCGCTCGGCAAAGTTGGTCATGATCTGCTCGCGCAGGCAGGTCACTGCCTCCAGAACCCGTTCAGTGTAGACGCCCGGCTCGTAGTTGTCCATCTCCGCGGAGACGACGTTGCTCACCCGGGCAGAGCGGCCGCGAATGGCGCCCGCAGTGCGGTCCAGCGTGTCAGCGTCGCCCTCCTGCAGGGCGAGCACACACTTGTTGACGTCCTCCAGAATGTGGTTCTCAGAGACGGCGAGGAAGTCGTCGATTGTGGTGATGTCATCGACCGCCTCCGTCAGCGTGCGCACGTGGTTGTCCCAGGACTCGCGAAATGAGTCCATGTTCTCCTGGGCCACCTTTGACTTGGGCCGGGCGGCGAGAATGCGCGCCGCGTTGATCACCTGCGGACAGATCTTCTCAATTTGACTGGCGGCGTAGCGGACCATCTTGACGCCGTCGTCGTTGTTGGACATGCTGCAGGCGAGGTTGGCCACCTCCACCAGCTTGTTGGCGTGCTCCTGGAAGACCTGCGCCAGCTCCTCGACGTCCTCCACGCGACCACTCTTCGCCGCCTCGATCAGCACCAGCAGCGGCACATTGGTGTCGAGGAAGGAGTCGGAGACGTGGTCGATGACCGCCTTGCGCAGCTGCCGCCTTAGGTCCTTCGTCTTCTGCGTCATGTAGTCGATGGCCTTGCTCAGCGACTCGGAGGGCTCCTTCCGCCCGGTGTTGGCCATGTACTCGGAGAGCAGGTCCTGCAGCGCCTGGCGGACGGCGTTGCACTCTGCCACGATGCGCTCCCGGCGCTCGTCGCGCGTGCAGGAGGAGTCGGCCATGAGGGCGGCGCCGCTGATGATGCTCTCCAGGCGCTTCTCCAGCGACGGCCGCGTGCGCACCTCATTGTACGCCAGCGGGTCCATGAAGATGCTGTCGTCGAACTCGTCCAGCGCCGAGGCCAGCTCCCCGGGGCCTTCGTAGATGGCGTGTGCGATCTTGTTGTTGGAGCGGCCCTGGGCGACGTCGCTGATGGCGTTCACGGCCTCGCACACCTGCCGGAAGATGTAGTCGCGGTTCTCCTTCGCCGCCGAGATCTCCGGGTGGCGGACGTAGACCTTGGAGGCGGTGAGCAGCATCATGCAGTTCTTCTTGAGAACGGCGCGCGCCGCCGCCAGGTCGTCGCGCAGCTTCGGGTCCTTCAGCTCGGCCTGCCGGCGGGCCGCCTGGTTGATCAGCTCGACGGTGTTTCGGCCAAAGTTTCGAAACGACTCCACCAACTCCGACTGACTGGAGGCGTTCTTCACCTTCTGCAGGTCGTCCTCGACCACCTTCAGTGACTTCATCAGCCGGTGCACGTCGACCATGTCGGCGAGAATGAGCAGTCGCGTCACTGCGGACAGCAGGTTACGGGCTGCCTTGACCATGTTGCCGCGCTTCAGGGAGGAGCACGGATCCTCGGCAAACTCGCGAGACGACTTGCCCATGTGATCGCCCGCCTTGCGAACCTCCTCAACGGCGCTGAGCATCTCCGATTTGATGTCCGGATTTTCCATGGCGATCTCCTCACCTCGAACAATAAAGTTAGCAGTGGCCTTCTCAACTGCCGCCACAAGAACGTGAGCCCGTTTAGAGCGTCCCTTTTTCTTCTTCGAGGGCCCCTTTGTGGTGACCAGTGTTGTTACCTGTGTGTTAGTGAAGAAGTAAAAACATTGCTCAAAGTGAGTCATCCACTGGCAGCACTTCCTACCTGCATGACCAATGGCTCCAGTGTCTTCTCCACCGAATGGGTGCGTATCTCGAGGTTCTTCGGGTCCCACTTGATGGACAGTGCATTGTTCGGGTCGACGGTGTTGAACTGCCCCATCGAGGCGTACACTCCTCCTCCTCCTCCGCCGCCGCCGCCGCCGCCGTTGACACCGTTGTGTCCGTTGGTGGACATCACTTGACCAAGTGGTGGGAAAGAAGGTGGAAGGGCCCAGTAATCAGTGTGACCAGAGATGGGCGAAAGAGGTGATGAGGACGTGCACACACAGACAAACAGGTGAATCAGCGAGTGAGTGAGGAGAAGGCGCACTGAAGAAACAACTGACGTCGATGACAACACTGCCAACAGCGAGTCGTTCAACCTGCCACCATTCAACGATGATTCTCTCTCTCTCTCTTCTCCCTCTCTTCTTTCTCTCCCTTCAACGATATGGGCATCCAGCACACAGCTTGCACTCACACAGGCTAACTCTGCCAGCTATCCTCGAGGCGTGACCATCTGTTCCCCTCTCTGCAGCTGCTGCCGTATCTGCCAGTCAGTCAGCTAGGCAGTCAGTTAGCCCGCTGCCAGTGGTGCACTAGCGCATTTCACATTTGAATTGCAACACTTCAAACTGGGTTCAAATAGTAACTTGAAATTGTTCTTTTTCAGGTAAAGTTCAAGCAGCAGCCCCGCCACTTTAGTGCGCTACTAAAGTGTGACAGAGCATTGTGAAAAACGACAATAAGAGTGGAGTGCCAGTTTTGTGACAAACTAAATGGCTAGAGTTGCTGCATGTTGATGCCCAGAATGGCAAAGGACGGACGCTGGTCAGAGTCTGTCTTCCAACAGTCGAGCATGAGGGCGTAGAGGCCGTCGGGACACTCTTTCGGCTTAGGAAGTCGCTCCTCATCGAGCAGTAGGGTGGTGATTTGGACGTCGGAGAGGCTCTCATAGGGCTCCTTGCCGCGTGAGTACACCTCCCAGATGAGGACGCCGAAGGACCAGACGTCGCTCTCCACGCTGCTCACATTTCCGGCAATCGTCTCCGGCGCAGCCCAGGGCATTTGCTCTCGAGAGACGGAGACCTTGCAGAGGAACTGGTCATAGTTGCCCAGCTCCTGAGACATCTTGAAGTTGCCGATTTTGACTATTTTAGAATCGTCAACGGTGCAGCTCTTGGCCCTTAGGTTTCGGTGAACTATGCCTCGCTGGGAGAGAAATATCATGCCTGTGGAAAGGGTGTGCATGATAATCAAGTCTTGTTGAAAGCAATCTTCTCTCCACTTACCATTGCAAACACTCAAGCACAGGGCAAGAAAGTCCTTTTGTGTGAGTTCCTTGTTTGCTTTGACATAATCATTCAGTGTCCCATTGCTGCTGCTTTCAAAGACCAAAATTGGATTTTTCTTTGGGTCAAGGGACAAGGCGAGCACTGCCACTATATTTTGGTGCTTGAAATCAAAGTGCACGACAGAATACAGACAGCGCATCTGCTCCACTGGAGGGATTGCCTTTTTATCCGCTTTTGAAAGGTCGCAAACATGCGCCAGTACTTCCTTCTTATTATATTGAGCAACGTAGTTTTGGCAAAAACCCTCCTTATTGCGAGGTTTCACCAGGGTGACCTCCTTATACTCGATCTTTGTGCCATGGTAGCGATCCATCAGTTGGCGAGTCAGTGTTTTTGAGTCGAATGCTTTGAGAAAGAGGTGTTAGTGAGTTTTGAGGCTTTTAGAACATTGATCACAGCTCGATCTGCACTTACCCACTTCTGACTTGTTAATGTACCAGATGGCGAAGAAGAAGGCGGCAACGAGCACCAGAATGATGAGGACGACGCCCCCGATGACGAGCCAGAGTGAGGAGTGATCGGCGACGCACTGCACCGCCTCATTGGGGTGACTCCACTTCTCCAGGCCAGTGCAGACGATGCTCGTTGGGCCCGTCAGCTTGTAGCCGCTAGCACAGTGGAAGGTGATCTTATTGGGCGTCTTGTACCACTCCACACCGGGCGGAATGTCCGGCGTGCCGCAGCTGAGGGACACGCCCGGGTCGGCGATGACCACTCGTTGGAGGCAGCAGCCAGACTGGCTGATGTTCACCGCAGTCACACTCTGGCTCACGTTGAAGGCGTAGGCCACAGACACGTCACTACTCTGCAGTGGAGCGCCGCTCTCGATGGTGGCCCCCGAATCGGTGGATACGCTCAACTTCTTGCAAGCACTGTTGGTCCACACGTACAGGCTTTTGATCATCAGTGTTTGAAAGGTGATGGCGAACGCCTCCTTGCTGCAGTTCAGTGACTCGCTGTTCAGCACCTCGAGACCAGTTCCATTGAAGTGCAGGTCTTCATTGCCTTTCTTGTCCTCCTTCGCCACAACGGTCAGGCATATGGGCGTAGAGCCGGTGAACTTCTCCTCCACGCACTTCCGCTGACTGTCGCCAATGAGGACGGTGCCTGTCTTGCAGATGTAGGCAACGGAACAGTCGCCGGATGGACCCTTAGTGACCATGCCATTGTTTGGCACACCATAAACTCCACACTTACAGTTGTCCTCCTTGGCCAAAACGCTGAGCATCGCAATTGCGAGATTGATACTAGTAATAGTCAACATAGAAGACATTGCAAAATGATTCCAGTCAAAGTGTCTCGTACAAAAGCAGACTTCCACGTTTATATGATTTTCGACAATTTTCGAATTTGAGCGCAAAACGTAATTCATTGAACGTAAAACGATCAACAATGGCGGCCTCTACCGGCACAAGCAAACACCATTTCTCTCTTGAGCCACAATGACTGTAAATGAAAGGAAAATCGCCGTCCTTTTTATTTTTCAGCGCTAAAAAAAGTCGACAATTTTCCTGCAGTTGCGAGCAGACAAACGTGTTTAGCCAAGAGTCACATTGCGCCCGCTGTGAAGGTCTCATCTGATCTTGTTGTCTGGTTTTCTCGGCACCCGTCTCGGTAAACATCCTCTCGCCCATCTCCTCAGCCATGTTCTCCCTTGCCCGACAAAGTGTCCGCCTCGCCCGGATGCCCTACCAGGCGTTGGCTTGTCGTACTCTGGCCGACAACGCCTCCGGCATGCCTCTAACCTTTTCCTCTCCCTATGAGGTGAGTTGTCGGCTTGTTTTCATTTTCAGTCAAAGTGTGAACATCCCCTCTTTTGGTTCCATCTTGTGCTTTTCTAGGTTTTCTACAATGCTGCCGACGTGAAGCAGGTCGATGTGCCCTCGTTCAGCGGAAGCTTCGGTATTCTGCCAAAGCATGTTCCCCTTCTGGCCGTACTCAAGCCGGGAGTCGTCACCGTGTACGAGAACGAAGGCGCTGCCAAGAAGTTCTTCGGTATGTTGATGGCACTCAGGCCTGATTTACCTACATATTGACATTTCTATTGCCTTCACAGTGAGCAGCGGCACCGTCACCATTAACGATGATTCGTCAGTGCAAGTCCTGGCCGAAGAGGCCGTTCCACTAGATAGCTTGGACGCTCAAGCCGCACGCGAGGCCCTGTCAAAGGCACAGCAGCAGCTGTCTTCGGCAACCGATGAAGTGAGCAAAGCTGAAGCCCAAATTGCAGTAGAAGTCAGCGAGGCCATCGTTGCTGCTGCTAACTAAATCAGATCAAGAAGCACTTTACGTTCCTGTAGATAACTAA